GGTAGAGGCCAGAGGTGCGGGGGTTGAGGGAAACCACCAGAGACAGAGAGGGCAGCAGAACAGGCAGATCTACTGAAATACACTTCAGAGGGGAGCAACCGGTGGGTCAGGAGAGGTCTGCTGCGCCGTGTGGGTCAGCTCCCTGGCTGGGGATCCAACTCGTGCTGCAGTGTCTGTGGACAGATTCACAGTGCTGCGCTTTAACCCACTGCACCACGGGGAGGGCCCTACTCCAATTTATTTTTGCTAGCCTTTTCAAAGTCAGAGCAAGAGCTTAGTCCTTTAAAAAAAAGTTAATTGTAAAAAATTTATTTTTCACTCAAACTGCATTTGGTGAAATGGGTTCAGAGTGGGTTTTAGCAATTTTCTTACCCACTCGCCACTCCAGGGTGTCCTGGATTGATAATGCAACCAGCCCCGCCAAATGGAGGCAACGGATGGCCCCCCTTATTTTGAGTGAGCAAGGAATTAGGGCCTGTGTAAGGCTCTCTGCTCAGGACGGCGCCAACCTTCTCCATTCATTAGCGCCTGAGAGCCAGCGCCACCAGCTAGCAGTGTTAGGTCTGTTTGGACTGGAAAGCCTGTAGCCCGCTGGGCTATTTTTAGAAGCTGCTAGCACTGAGTCAGTCTTCCTGCTGGCGTGGGGGCTCTCTCCTGCGTGCTGTCTGCGCTCACACCTTGGAGCAGAGTCCGGCCTCCCTCGCCCACTGGCCTAGACCGGAACCCTCCTCTCTATTGCTTCCACCCAGCAGGGCCAGAGGCCTTGCTTCTCTCATCAAAGCCTCCCCTCCAGTCATGTTTGTGAACTTGGAGGGAGTTGGGGACTTTCCATCTTGCTCAGTTTTGCATTAATGGAGATGTTCGTGCCAAAAACGCTTTATTGTTTAAAGCCAGTTCAAGTCCAAATACACCAGAGGAGAGCTCATTACATTTACATAACTTTAGAGAAAATGAGATAGAGGGTTTAAACGTTAGCTGTAAATTGATACTCATTGTTCTTTTTTTTTAATCCCAGAGTATGCAGAGTGAGTGGCGGAAGAAAAGGCACTTAACAAATGCTTCATGGAGGAAGGAAAGCTCAGGAATAAATGAATAAATTAAGGTGTGGAAAGTTCAGGGATTTATCCCTCTTCAGGGTAAAAACTTATAATTTAACACACAGAACTTTTCTTTAATAAAAGCAAAGGTGCCCTCAGGCCCCTGTCCAGGTGGGGCTGGGGGTGTTTGCAGCAGTTGGGTTGTCTTATAGGTGTTAGGATGACTCTGTGCTAAGTAACCCTGAACTCACTCAAACTGGCTTGAGCAGCAGAGAGATGCACAGATCCCACACCAAGTCCTCAGAAAGGTGCTGACCAGGCTCTGGGCAGATGAGGCTTAAGGTAGCCGTTCCAGCGGCTCCACACACCTTGGAGGCCCCTGACACTTCCATCTTGTGCCCTGCTGCCCTCAGGGTCTCAGCGTTGCCATCCCAGGCTACTCCCAGAAGCCTCCCCCAACCCCCCAGGCCAGCAACACGCGCAGAATGACCGAGTTCAACAGAAGAGGAACAGTCTCCTCTCTGTGGAGAATAAGCTCTTCCTCAGAAGCCCCCCGGAAGAAAGCCCATCATACATATTCTTTCGGCTTGAGCAGTCCACATGCCCACTGCCAGCCAACTGTGGGCAACAGAACCACAACCACCATGCCTGGTTTCGCTCGGGCATGCCTGACCACGAGCCACACAGGGGATGGACAGACACCAGACCACTTAGGGCTCTGCCAGTGAGGAAGAGGGGAGGGTGGCGCTCGGATGCGCGTCGACTGTCGGCTCTCGTGCCCCTCAAAGGCCAGCCAGATTCCTGGCAAAGGGATTCTTTTGTTATTTTTTTCTAAGATATAACCCAAGGGAACACTGAGACAGATTTCATTGCATAAATTGTACCAACATTTGGTGATTTGATAACCTACACTTCCAGACTTTCTTATTCTCAGTGAGACTCCCCACTTACTATATCAATATTTAGTTGTATTCCATGACTTTTAAAAGTAATCACTTGGGAATTACGTGGTTGGAGGGTCTATCGTCTCAGATTCTGAAACCAGGAACATCCACATCCTGAAACCTCAGGCATCCAGGTACCGCCTGTCTTAACTTCTGTCAATCATAACAGACCTTCTCCTTCCTAGCACAAATGCTTTCATGGGCTGCATCTGCTGATTTATATAAGTATTATCAACAACTAATTGTTTTGGATGCAGGGAGAAGTAATTTTCTTAAAGTCACAGCATCCATGGTAATAGTCAGCTGGTCAGGTGTGAGCAGAGAGACACACTATGTAAACAAAACAACTTAGATTATTGATGCTTTTCCTCAGAATAAGCACAACCACAAAACTGTCTTAGAAGAATATAGTAGTATTTTAATTATAAGTATAAAACCATATAAAGAAATCCCTAAAATCCAGAACTATATCCTCTAGGACATTATAAGTAAGCTTTGTATATTGATAATGGTTACCAAAAAATTTAACACAGCATTTTAACAACCTATAGTGACATTGAGTATATAATAGCAAAAAATGCAGATCTGCCCCTTCAGAAATAAATCTATAAGAAACAAACCTGTAGGGCCTCCCTGGTGGCCTAGGTGGCCTAGGGGTTAAGTCTCAGTGCCACCACTGCCATGGCCTGAGTTCAATCCCCAGCCAGGGAGCTGACCCACAGGGCGCAGCAGACCTCTCCTGACTCCCCGCTGT